CACGCAACACGCGCAGATTCGGCCACCAATATACACGAGGCCTTTGAAGCCTGGGACGTTCCTGCTCGATTAAACGAGCTGCTCTCTAGCAATAATACCCCCAGCGAAGCGGAGTCCAACGAGCTGCGCGCGTACCTATCGGGATCCCAGACTGCTCAAGCGTCCGTAGAAAAGCAGTTAATCGATGCCGAAGAGACTGTTAGGCTTTTCAAATTATCGCAGGCACTCATCCTTACTCGATCCAGCGACGTTAAAAAGGTGTTGCATCCTCTACGGACACTTCCAAGCGACGTATTGGCCGAGATATTCCTACATTGCGCGCCAATCCAATACGTTGACCCACAGCCCGATTCATTATGCCCGAGGCACCATCCTTGGAATCTATCCCACGTCTCGCGTAAATGGCGAGACGTCGCGTTATCTCTTCCACGGCTGTGGGCCACGGTGTATCTCGATTTTGCGGCGTATGGCAAACTGTCATATCGAGATTGTGTGTATAAAGGCATGCTTCTCTTCGAAAGGTCGAAAGGGCTCGATTTGTGCTTGACCATCCGGAGTGATGTATTGCAGGAGATTGTCGACCATCCGTTGACGGCGGTGCTGGAGAGCAGTACGGCGCGCTGGAAATATCTTTATGTCTGTATCCCGGCACCTTCGTTGCAGTCTTTTGCTGGTCGTCCGTTTCCCATCCTAGAGGAGCTCTTCATAACCCATGCAAGCAGTCTGACCCCCGGAGTGAAAGTCACCACTTTTGAATCCACCGCTCCCAAACTCAGGACCGTGACGCTGATAGAGCGTGCTATAGCGGCATCTCTGCAACTCCCTTGTGGGCAGCTCACTGAGCTACGCTGCGGCGGCAGCGTGTTCATGGAACCTGCGTTCATCCTGCGGCTTCGCGAAATGAGGAATCTGAAGGTACTGGAGCTGGGAGTCGTCGTGACATCGGGTCCGATTGTGCCCAATATCTTACTCCCCGTTTTGGAGGAACTTGTCGTGGATCACGCGGATCGGTCACACACTGGCTTGTTCGACCATGTCATACCGGCGCTCACTGTCCCCTCTATCAGGCGCCTCAGCATTGCACCATTCATAGGTGACTGGCTGTCGTTACCAGTCTATCCAGATTTTGCAGGGATAACACACCTCCATCTCGCATTTGTGGACTCGGTTTTTCCTGACCCTCCAGAGAATGAGTTCTTTTGCCGTATGGTTGGTGTCGAGGAATTGTGGTTGACGCATCATGAGCTTCCTCCCGAAATATTGCAGCAGATGACAGTGATCGAGGGAGAACCATTTCTCTTCCCTCATCTCCGGATTCTCGACATCCATGATACACAAATCGGCAGTGACGAGAGCAGTGCTATTTTTCATACAATGTGCGAGTCTCGTTTGCGCGACAAGGATGTTTTGGCAGAGCTGAAGGTTGGTCATTTTATGTGATTTTGCGCGCCTGGCTTACGTCATATCAGGTTGCGCGGTTGGAAGAGTTGAGAGTGCCGGATTATTGGTATTGGGTTCCTGAAGATGAAGGTGAAAAGGAAGAACAACGGTGGCGGGAAATATGTAGCTTGACCAATGTTGTTTATATTCCCTAATTACAGCCAAGATGCATGATCGGAACCCTGAATGCAGCTTGGCTTTGGTCAATGACGACGACCGCGCCGGACACTATTGACTATGATATTCGAAGAATACTAGGTCCTTCAAACGACGGCAAAGATGTTCAAGCGACGTCGTTCAGTCTACTGGAGACGCTGAACACGCATTTTCCTGACGGTGAGACCGTCGCGGACTATGGTGTAAATCTTACATTGTCGTGTAGAGGCATCACTTGCGGAAACCGAAATCCTGCAGCAAAGGCTCGCAGAGGAGCAGCGCGCGTTGCAGGACGAGATTAATGCATTACGGGCGCAGTCAAAGGAGAGCCAGGACTCGAATAGAATGCAGCTCATTCAGGAACTCATCTCGGTGCGAACTCAAACGTCTATTTGTTGACCGCTCCTCAACTCTGAACAGGAACTGCTAGGCCAAATGTCGCGAATACGCGAAAAGGCAACGGAATCTGAAGCTGTCGTCCGCAATATAACCAAGGACATTCAAGTCTTGGATTTGGCCAAGAAGAACTTGATTAATAGTTTGACGACGTTGAAGAGGCTGCAGATGCTCGGTGCGTAACTGTTAGACTGGCATCCTCCCGCTAAACATTGCTGTAGTCAACGCGTTAACACAACTGGAAGATCATGTGCGGGAGAAGAAGTACACCGAGATGGCGCAGACTTTGGCGGCCGTCAAGCAAATATCTGTTTCGTTCAAGCCCTACACCACTGTCCCTCGTGTTGCGCAGGTCTGGCGCCGTATCCAACAGATGCAAGGCGAGATACGCACCCTCGTGGAAAGTGACTTTGATAAATTGTACGCCATGGTAATTCTCATGGACCATCGGTCTGATCTTTTCGTAGCTACTTGGAAGACCCTAAGAAACAAGTCAAGACCTCTACTGTAGCCGACGCGTGTTTGGTTGTCGATGTGCTTGGCGAAGACGTGCGGAATAATCTTGTCGACCGCTACGTGGCTATGGAACTGAAGGAGTACCGCCGCATATTCCGAACGACGGACGAGGCAGGTCAACTCGACAACATCCCTCGGCGCTTCTCTTGGTTCCTACGATTGCTTCAAGCGCACGATCTCCACCAAGGGCGTGTCTTCCCGGCTGAGTGGAAAGTAAGCTGGCACCTACTGGCCAAGTTTGCAGAGATTACAAGGTATGCCCGTGTTGTGTCTTTGATTCATCCGACTGAGAAGCAATAGAGATGATCTGTCGGTTCTGTTATCGAAAGCCGGCGCGTCGCTGAACGTGAAGATTCTTCTTGATAATCTGCAGCTGGCTTCAGACTTTGAGGCTTCGATTACCAAAAAGTGGGCAACACCGGTGAGTGAATCTGCTTCTCTACGCCCTGTAGAATGGCGCGTTAACCTTTCCCAGTTTGCAGATATTCTTGTTGCTACGGCACCTCCTTCTGGACCGATGAAGTCAATAACGTCGGCATTTGAGCCCCATATGGGCGTTTTTGTCGAGGCTCAGAACAAGTGCGCTTTCGACTATCATGAAAGTTAAACGGTCTAACATCGCATGTCAGGGCTTTATCAGATATGCTTGCTCCGCATCGTAAACCCAAAGCACCCCCTCCACGTACTTCACTAGATGCGGGAACTCCCAGGGCTTCGGGAGAATTGGAGGAAGGAAGCTCCCCGATTCTCGTTCTTCCGTCGTCCACAGAGCTGTTTTATTTCTACGCTCAAAGTTTGGAGCAGTGTGCCAAACTGTCTTCTGGACAGGCATTATTTGATTTGGCCCTCGTACACAAGAAGTGGTTAAAGATATACGCCGGCAAGCCTTGTCTTGGTTGCTCATGGTCTTAACTAAGAAAACTACAGACGACGTTCTAACTGCGAGTTTGAAAAAGTGCGTTGCTTCCTCCTTTTGAAGCGCGCCTAATAACGAGCTCCTCTTCTCAGGCCTGCTCCACTTCGGCGCTCGACGGATACGAGGTTCGACTTGAACGCGATTCAACAAGCGTCTCTTGTCATCAACACTGCGGACTACTGTCAAGCGACCGCACTTGAGGTATTGTTAATGCACTCACCATCTGCAAATGCTAATATCAATGCAAGCTAGAGCAAAAAATACGCGAAAAGATCGACGACGAATTCAAGGAGAGAGTCTCGTTCCAGAGTGAGTGTGATGTGTTTATTGGGTACGTTGAATCACATCTGTCCGACACTTTTGACGTGCAACTTTGTGGATCTTCCCCAGATGTGTATCGTGGGCGATAGCAATTCACTTGCGGGAATTGGAGACGGCGTGTGATCCTTCGTTTACGACGATGACCCGAATATCTTGGGCGACATGGGCTCAAGTCAGTGGCCCTTCTGCGTATACGGGCGATCTGGTGAAAGCCATCGAGCAAATAACGGAAGCTATCAAACCTGGCATCGAGCAGAAGAAGTATCTGAGAAATCTCTTTGACAAGATATACAAGTTGAGTCACTGGAGATCTTTCATGGGTTGCCTATTTAGTGAACCTGCGACAGTCTCTTGTTAGCGAAATTTACCGCGGCCCTCGTCAAGAGCCGCCCGCTGGGAGAGATTGGAGCGGAACAGGTCTGTCGCCATTCCGCTGAATGTGGCATTTCTCACATCGTCCTAGCTCTTGATTGACCTGCAAACATTGAAAGCGTTTCTAATAAAACTGCCCGGGGAAAGTCTGATGACAACCAGGTACGTCTCCATAAGATGTCGCAATTTTTTCTGGTTCGCTATACCGAAGTACCTTGATAGTTATACTCGTGGTTTGTCGAAAAGTACGGCAAGGTTGGAGTCTCTACTAAAGGTCATCGTCACACCTGTCGTGCGTTTCTTCTTTCTCAATACAACGTATCTACTCCTTCTCATGTGCGAGATGCCAGGACCCGCCGGAGGGTTTCATCTTGAATTATACGCTCCTCATTGGCGATGCGTCCTTCTCCAACTTCCAGAAGGCGCGTTTGTTTTTGTCTCTCAACGTCGATTCTCTGACCTTTACTGCAGATCCTCGATCTGAAGGGAACACCAAAGTTCCAGCAAAACGATCTGTTGGACTCGTTTCTTACGATTACGAGCACGAAGAGCGAGCTGGACAGCACCTCGTTCCTGTCGTCGCTGGACATGGACCCGACTGCGTCGCAAGGAGGCATGGTCAGTCCCAGTATAATAAGTGCGCCGAGCGAGGGCATTTTTTCTGGGCTGTCGTCGCCGCCGCTTAGTGGGCCACCGACGGGGTCGAGTGTCGGAGATGCGAATCGCCCGGGGGACAGGGTGTTTTCTGATTTCAGGAGGTTTGTGAGCTTTGGATTGCGTAGGGACTCGCAAGCACCGACATGATTTGTATGGCAATGAATGAAGTAGGAAGAGGCACTGAGACCACGGCATGTATTGGAAGATGGAAGTGGTCCATTGATAAGGCCGCGTAGCGTAATGGTTAACGCGTCACTTTCCGGAGGTGAAGATTGCAGTTTCGAATACTGCCGTGGTCGTTACCGAGTTTCATATACCTTTTTACATCGCATTTAAATGCTAACTCATCAACACATGCGGCATCAGTCTGTATTTGCTTGAGTCAGTCTCAGATGATGACCTCTTCGAAGATGCTAAAAGTTGTGTACAGTCTAGTGCCATTGGAGGTTTGCTTTCGCGTTACACCTCGGTTAATACGTGAATTAGTACGTCCTTCACCGTAGTCCGTTCGCCGCCTTCTCTTAAAGGCATAGTAGCCCCCACCATGGCGCCACGAAACACTCCATCGTCCGAATCCCGGACCCTCAGTCGATGCGACATTACTCGGGGTGCAATTCGCGCGATATCCGCCTCGGATACATCCAGGACTTGGATGTCGTTGTTATTCGGCAGAGGCAGCGCCAGATTCACCTCGAGACTTCCCTCTGCGATCCCGTCCATCACGTCGAAGAGTTTGTCCGTCTCTGTAGTCGTATGGCTAGTCTCCGCCGTCGTGGCGGAGAGACTATCGCTGTAGGCTGCGGTGTCCTGAACGAGCTGCATGCCCGTGGGGTCGCCGCCGAGCACGCGAGCGGCGCGCGCGAGGTCTTGGGCGTCTGAGATGGCGCGTGCGGTGAGGAAGGTCCCGTCGACCTCATAGTGGTGACGCGTGGCGGAGAAGATGTCCGCGAGGTACAGCGACAGCCGCGCGGGAAAGTGGGTGCGCTGGTACCACTTGCGCAGGCAGGGCAGATAGGTTATCGGGATCACTGGAGAAGGGAGCTGGAGATGGGCGTGTTTGGCGAGGGCACGGATGTCAGGTGTCAGCGTGACGGCCGCACTCATCGCGAATTGGTCTAGCTGTGAAGAAAGAAAGACAGTCAGCACCCGGATCCCTCAACTCAATTGATGTGAGAGACGGACTAGAGTCTTGTGAATTGCGGGTCTTTCCCTGGGATCGTGAGGACAAACATAGACCATGAAAAAGTTGTCTGGGAGATTCCATACTCCGTCGAGATCGTCACCCGCGCTGGATGATCTCCCTCTTTCGTGAGAGTCGAAGATTAACCTCTTGTCAAGTAGCACTCGTGTCAAGGCCCGCTGCGAAGGAAGACTAGCGTGCTCTAGACCGGAAACTACTATGGCATTTGGCACGGGCCCTCTTCTGATTTGTTCCGTAGCGTTTTGCAGTGGGGTGGGATCCGAGTGTGAATGCGGAAACGCAGGAGATACCGCGTGGCTAGAGGAGAAGGGATTGGAGGTAAGCGTACCTGTCCCCCACTGATTGTCGTCTTGTCGTCGAATGGGTCCGTACGAATCGATGTAGGAGACATAATAGAAGCCGCGTCGGTATATGACAAAGAGCGTGAATAACGATGTGACTTTCGTTTCGTACTGCGCGAACCAGAACGGCGCTTTTCCGCTTTATGATGGATTGCTTGGTCTAGAGAACTTGTCGAAGACGATAGGGCCCCTGGCAGGAATAGAGATTGGAGGAATGCATCCGTATTCACTTGTTCAAAGACAGCCTTTGATTGTGCCCTGCGTATTCGTAGTTTATGCGTCACGAGGCCGAAGAGAGACGAAAGGATCTATACGACTTCGATCAGCGAGCTGACCCTTGCTATTTTGATACATGAGGCAAGAGGAACTCACCGCTGTGACAATTCTCAGGACCAAAGGAACGTCCTCTTCAGTGGTGCGAAGTAGTAAATGTTTATCTCCGGAAATGAAGCATAGAAGTATAGATTGGAGCACAACAGTATCAATCGGGAGACCTTGTCCATACGCAGAGTCCTCGATATGAGCTAGGAGGGCAGAAAAGAAAGCTGGAGTCCCGACAGGTATATGCTCATCAGCATATGGCGCCGGCTGTGGCATTGTAACTCAATTGAAGGGGAGTGTTTCAAGGGAGTCGGAGACAAACGGTCCAGATGAAATGTCTAGTGGACGAGATGTGGATCAGTGGCATAAACACGTTAATGATGGAAGCAAATGCCTTGTCGGAATGATGCAATGAAGCTTCAAGCCATGTAGGCTCCTGTTAGTATAATAGTGTGGTTCTTAGAATCGTGTCGCTCAGTACGCGAAACCCCCGATATGCTTGCGGTCTGACCTTGAAGTATAGGTAGGGTGACTGGCTGTTTGCGGAACGTTTCTAGGAAACGATGACAGTGAGAATAGAGTCAAGTCAAGGCACTGTTGAGGCTCCTAGAGACCCAAGAGGAGTAGCAGCAGTAATGCCGGGTATAATGAATGTCCTGTTGCAGATTAACAAGAAATCCCAAGCGCCAGTGATGGGCGCTCAGGTTGTGCAAACTTGGCGTTGATAGTTGTGTGTGAAGAGTGTGGGAATATGTTTGGGCGAATCACCTTGTGATTGGCTGGTGATCTGATTAGATAAATGGCTTCCCCTTCTGGTCAAGATGTCAAATGTGTTGACGTGCTTCTCCGTTTGCCATTACTGGCAACGAAGTCGGAACTAATTGCAGCGTTTACACATGACGGAATCAGGGCTGTATTTATGCAGCGTGTTTAGGCCATCTTGCTTCTTGACACAAAGTCGCATTACGCTGGCAGACGGAACGGTCCTTCTCCTCTCTCTTGCTCAGCCAGTTCACACGGAAACTGGTTTTCTACTGCGTCTTGGGGCTTTTCATGTTCATTGTCCATATTTCCTTTCCACCCTTATAGCGCGGCCTTCATGATTCGATGGGGAGCACTGTGCAATTCGAGGTTGATGATACCTCCCCCATGATTACTTACTTTCCTTTCGGCGACACACTGTCCACCGCGAATCTCTCTGCCGGCTGGAATCCGTACTTCGATGGTTCGGGATTCCTCTCTGCTCCCGGCGAGACAGGGAGTGGAACCAGCCAGCACATCAGCGCGCGCGACGGTGCATCATTGGTAATACAATGGCACGGTACAGAAGTTTACCAAGGTCTCAACGTTCTCGTTTGACTTTCGTACAGGCACAGGCATCGAGTTGTATGGCAATGCCACGGATGCATCCTACTCTATATCCATCGATAATTCGCTCTCGAATTCAAATATGTCACAGTTCGACAAAACGAACAATGTTCTCTCCGTCGTCAACAATCTTGCCAACAGCGACCATACCCTCACTTTAACGGCTCATACCACCTCAACGCAGTCTTTCGTTGCTTTCGACAAAGCTTTGATTACCTCTATGCCCCCAAACTCTACAGCTTCTAATAAGTGAGTCCGCTTGTCGTTGCACCTATCGTCGTACTCAATCAAGTCCAGTTCAGATTTCACATTGCAGACCATTATGGACGGCGGCATCAACTTCGACGGACAATGGACGTTTAATAATGGCTTGGGAAATGCATTCCGAGAATCTAACACGACTGGCGACACAGCCCACATCTCTTTTCTTGGTACGTGCCTCTTCACGCGCTGGTCGCGTCCCACTGATATTTCATCCAGGAACGTCTTTCCTGGTAATGGGTACTACATCACCTGATGGAGGCAACTATTCGGTTACTCTGGACAACAGTCAAATATTCCTATCTGCACGATCTTCGTTCACCAATAACGAGACGTTGCTATACTATTCGTCCGGCTTGGATCCCACAGTTGTCCACAACCTGTCGATTATAAACGAAGACGGATCACACCTGATCCTCCCAGTTGGCGGTTTCCGCGCATTTGCTTCGATGAACCCGACGTACGTTGTCAAACCTCTGTTGCGCATGCTGTACTTACGCGCGCTTGATAGTCCGACCGCGAGCGCGACTTCAAATGGATCTCAATCTGGATCTCCTCCCTACCCTGCGGGAACGATAGCAGCGCTGGTATTGGCTGGTGTTCTTGTGCTTGTTTTATCGGCCTGGCTATTATTTTACCTGCTCTTCTACCGACCCCGCATGAGAGCAAGGCAACATTCCGGGCATTCCGGATCATTATCCAATTCCAAAGAAGCCGAAGCAGGCGTCTTGGATATCCGGCCAAGGGGAAACTCCCTACCTCCTGATGTTTACCATCCGCGGAGAGTTAGCACTGGTTCAGAATTCAGGCGATGGAAGAGGAACGCTGAAGGCCATGGTAATTTGGGCGTTGACCTGGTCTTCCGACACCCCGACTCGACCAAGGAGGTGGACGACCATGGCAACCCAGTGAAATCATCTGATGCCCCCGCTCAGTCCCAATGCAAAGGTAAAGGCAAAAGCACCAGGTGGTCAAAGTTTGGGAGGCACGAGAAAGAAGGGTCCTCGCCTGGCTTTACCGTAGACCTGCCTCTGCCACCAGCAGCCGCTACTACATCTCGACAAGGCCCGCGATATGATTCCATTGGACGTGGTTCTCGCTCTTCCAGCTCGGCCCGTTCATACCTCTCGACGCTTTCGTTTGCATCGAAAAATCATCATCGTCTACCCAACGTCAGAAGGACGCTTCAAGTTCCTCTCGCCCTACGGTCCCGACATTCCATACACGGACATCCAGCCAGAAACCACTACTGCAATTCCAGGGCAACTCCCCTGTTCGGAAAGGCAGTCAGCCACAACCGCCACCGACCACTTCACTACCTCGTATTCTTGTTGACGACAGAGGGAGTGTCAGATATTCCGAGGACGTGATTACCAGGCTCGGACGTCAGTCGGTGCTGAGAGGTCTAGGTCCACGTACAAGCGAACGTACGCGGGACCCACCTCAGGACCAGGCTATCTTTGCGGATCCTCCTCCCCGCCCATTCAGACAACCAGATGTCAGTCCTGTATTGAATATGCGCGAGTCTAGTCCATTCAGGGTGGACTTCGGTAGCGCCGCACAACGCAACAGACTGCCCAGCGGCGTTGGTAGTGCGGTTGGTTTTGCAGACCCTTCCAGTAGTAAACGGGCTTCGGGGGCATCACATGTTAGGTTTGAAGTTAGCGACGCTAGCACGACCGGGGAGACAACCAGCCCTGTTGAAGAGGCTCAAACGCCGCGCCCTACGTCCACTCCCCGACAGGCGATAGTGTCATTCTTAGATCTGAGTTCGTCGGACGCCTCGACTATAACTCAGTCATCGGAT